TGTGCACACATGTTTGTGTGTTCATGTGTGTTTGCACACAAACATGCATGTCTGTGTATGTAGGAATCTTTATAGTCACAAAGGAAACAGGGCAGAATGAAAACACTCTGTTCTATAGTCACACAGAGGCCCTGTCAAACCTGACCCAGCAGGATTATTCTTGTAATTGCTTAAATGGGATTTTCCTCTGACCCAAGGTTGACACATGAAATGATGAGTGTCTCCTCAGTAATGATGTTCTCCTCACACTGGAATGAATCCCGGGCCGATCCGGAGCCTGCACTGCCATTGACCGGTGTTACTTTTTGAGCAAGTTACATTGATTTTCTGAATCTCCATTTTCTTAGACATAAAGCCACATGTCTGACTCTATAAAGCTAAACAGACAAGCAATGTCTTGAGTCTTTTAGAAATTTTAGTAATTAAATTGATTTGACTTCATTTACACACCAGGTAGTTATATTTTATTTTAGGATCTTCAGTATGATTTGCCTCACAACGACCAAGTGTGGTCTCCAAAAGAATAGACAGCCTTTGTGATTGATGAATCCTTATAGCACCCCCATGAGCGAGGAGCAGTGGTCACTTTCTGCTGAGGGAACTGAGATTTAGAGGTGAAGCAAGCTGCCCAGAGTCACCCAGAGGGTTTCTGGAGGTCTGGGCCACAAACCCACATCTGCCTCCAAAGCCAGGCTTGCCATGGCCCTCCCGCTCACCTCACCGCAGCCCACGGCTGTGGTGAAGCACAGCAATGCGGCAGTTGTGGGATTGGCATTGGCATCTGGTTCTCTTTCCCCAGCTGATGTTTGCCCTTCTCCTGGACACCCCAGTGCTCCCTTGGGTCCTAGCTGGTACGTAATTTCTTAAAGCCAACCCTCCATTCTGTCCCGGCAGAGGCAATAAGAAGAAGGAGGCACTGGGGAAATTCACACTGGACGTGCAGTGCATGCGAGCTTTGCTTAGACATCCATCTCTCTGCCGACACATCGTCAGCCGACCTGGTGGGGATGCTGGGCTGCCTTGAAAGTTTCTGACAGCCAGGCAACTGCGGCAGCCACTGCTCCTGGTAACTCCAGCAGTAAATGATGGGAGGACCACTGGGCCCTGACTGCTTAATCCCTACCTAATCTCTGGAGTCTCATAAATCCTTTCAGTCTTCAAATATTGAACAGTAAGAACTTGGTTCACAGACACATGATGGTCATAGGAGGCCCAGCAACTGAGCTATGAAATTCAGGGAAAGAAGGGGAATAAAAAGACTGCCAGGGGTCTACCTTGAAACTAGTTTAAATATAATCAGTGAGAAACAGAGGCAAACTCCTACTTACACAATTATTATTTTTGTTTAGCAAGATATATAGACTTAATTTTGCACAGAAAATTGCATAGGGAAATGCTCTCAGTAGAGCCACTGCAAAGCAATTCCATATTTTTAATAAGGCAAATCTTTCTGATTCGCAACTATTTAGCCATGAAATCTTAAATCCAATCAAAGTCTGTTTTTAATAAATGCTGCTTTACCAATTTTATTGTCCACTTAACAGCCTAAGAAAATTAACATTCTTTAGATGCTTAATTTTAATCTTAAAGACAAACACTGAGCTTTCTAACTGCCATTCAGGTAATTGAGTGCCTGTAAAATACGGGTTTGCTTTCCTGATATTCGGTCTCAAAAATTGTAAATCAGGTCAATTTACCCTGAAACCTGCAAATTTCTAAGCAATTTTGTCTTACTCTCCAGCAGTCATTTAAGAGCATAAAAACCCAATATGATGCATAAGAATACTTGAGAGGTTTTGCATTTCATTCATTAACATTTCTTCAAAGTGTTATAGGATTCCAGGGCAGGAGGAATAGGGAAACTGAGACAGGAATGTTAGAACAAGGCCAAATAGTGTGAGCAATTTGCAGCCAGCTTGTAACTAACCAGCCATTATCTCCTCCAGCCAAGGACAGGAGAGCAAATGGTTCCAAAAAAAACTTCCCTAATGAGAGAATGCAGAAAGGGAGAAGGTAAGGGGGAAGGAAAAAGGACAGTTTTACTCCCTAAGCAGAGAAGCCAGCAGTATCAAGGCTTGGCATGACAGAGTTGCTGGGGCTTCTCATAAATTCTGGGAAGTCCACTACAAAGTAAAAAAAAGAGGGAGGGGGGAATCTTGAGAATCAATCTGTATCAAATTATGCAGCAAAGGAATTTTTAAACATATAGACAGGAGGGTATATAACCCCTCAGACCCCCACCCAACCTGATCTTCAGATTAGCTGAGAGCCCGTCTGCGCTTCATAATCCAGATGTATAGGTTTGCTTGCTTGCTTTGCCTTTTCAATAAAGGTGCATGCATTAATAGCTTTAATAAATTGGCTTTTCCCAATGCAGTCAGTATCTCGTATAAATTTATTTACATGAGAAGACAAGGATCGAGGTTGGGGACAGGCCTCTCTCACTGGCTGTTCGGTAACACCCGGTGAGAGGTGCCTATGACGAAAGGAGCTGGGCAGAAGTTAGTCCCATCCCGAGAATGGCACCAGGAGAGGTGACAAGACTAGTGTCATTCAATGAGACAGAGGTGGGAACACTTTTCTCACTTTGAAACTTCTCTCTCTTAAGGGCAGTGGGCAGCACATTGGACTAGTAGTTAGTGGATCTGGGCTCTGAGTTATGTTGCAAAGCAGCACTGCCTAGCTGAGGCTCAGATTCCTCCTCTAGAGGTAAGAATACTCTTAACACCTCTTTCGTGGGATTTTGAGAGGACTTCATTCAACCTAATATCTAAAAATGTTTGCAAGCCCAAACCTTCCCCTTTTCAAATACGAAAGTATAGCATCTTTATGGTTGTTTCTCTGTATACCTACTCTGCCCAGGATCAAATACACAACTTTGGCCAGGTTTGCAGCACAATCTTTCACTGTTTAAATCAACCCTTTCCCATTGCCAGAGAGGGGTCATAAAACGTTTACCCTGGTCCCTGAGAGTTACAAAAAATGTGTGAATGAACCAACACAAAACCACTCCATTACTAGAAAAACAAATCTGGTGTTGATGTGTCTATTACAGTGTCTTCCTGGCCACTGTCCAATGCAGCTCATACACACACTTCCTGTCTCTCTCCATAGCCTTATTGTTGTCATGAACAATATCCTACATAACATACATATTTTACTTATTTGCTGTATGAATGTAAGCTCCATTAGGGCAGGGGTATTTGCCTGTTTCATTCACTGTCATATCCCTCACACCAAGAACAACGATTGTCATATAGAAAAACGAATGGATCATGTCCAGCACATGACCATTATACAGATGCTCCTATAGCTTCAGTCAAAGGAAACCTGGAAGATACTAGTAATGGTGCATTAAGACTTAGGTTGCTTTTGATATTTCAAATCTGATGTGTCAAAGTCCACAATAAAATAATTAGGTTATTTTTTACATCTTCTACCATTGGCCTCGCCAACAGTTTCTTATTCAAGTTGTCTTTGTCCTTTTGGTTTTTCTCTCTGTGAAGAGAGAGGACAGTTCATGCCTTAGATTTATAGAAAACATAAGCCATAATGAGGGAGTGCTATAGACTGCACCTGTGTGTCCCACCCAATTCCTATGCTGAAACCTTCTTCCCAACATGACGGTATTTGGAGGTAAAGGTTTTCGAAAATGGGCAAATCCCTCACAAATGGGATTAATGCCCTTGTAAAAGAGATTCAAGAGCTTCCTCACCCCTTTCCCCCTGTGCAGACACATAAAGAAGATAGTTATTTATGACCTAGAAAGAGGGTTCTCACCAGACACCAGCACTGCCAGTACCTTGATCTTGGGTTTCCCAGCCTCTAAAACTGTGAGAAATAAATGTCTGTTGTTTAAAAGCCACCCAGTCTATGGTATTTTGTTATCGCAGCCCAAATGCCAAGGAGGTTCCCCTTCCACCTATCAGAGTTTACATGTAAATTCCAAATCTACTCTCCTAAGCAATTACTCTGCATTTAATATTCGTAAGTCTCCATTGTATACTCAATCGCAAGAAACCACAGTGTGATTATAAACAGCACTAATCATAAACAGGCACACAAATCTTTACCACCCCCTGTGCCCACAGCACTTGGGAGATCTGTCAAGTGGTTCTGTGGCAGCTTGGGAAGAGGGGGCTGTGTTAGAAGTCATAGCCCAACTGCTGGGGGTGCGGTTTCCATATTTTACAGTTTGGGAATTACTACTTAGTAAAGCCCAGCTTTGTTCGTGAGCTGGAACAGTAGAAGCTGAGCCTGCAGGGATCTCTAAAGAGAAAAAATCCAGTGGAGCTGGAGCAGAAGAACTGGAAAAAAAAAGTCCCACTGAACTGCTGCTTTCAGAGTCTGTGAGAGGGACTGAGCACACACGACAAGGCGTGACAACCCAGGAAAGGGACACTTCTTTCTATATTTAAGTCCCTCAGGTCTCTGGCTCCTTGAGTTTGCAAAACAATTCATTTTGTAGGGTTTTCCTAAATAAAACTCTGCACTTCGCTTATACAGGAAGAAAGAGAATGTGATTCTATTTGCACGTCTAGTGCCGGTGCAAACACTTATTGGTGAGGCGTGGTTGGAGGACTGTAAAATGACGCAGACGGTGGTGGGGAAGTTAGGACACGTAAGCCTGGCCCACCTAGGAGCTTGCTGTTTCCTTTGTGACCTTCTGTTGACCACTTCTGCTTTCAGGGATTTTTCCAGACAAAGCTTGGTGATTGGCTACCCGAGAGACCCAAAAGGCTCTACATGTATCAGGTCTATTTCCAGGGAGAAGAGAGCAATGTAGATGAAGAAGACTGTCATGTTTGAGGACATTTGCTTCACCTAGAAAGTCTAAATTAGTCCCCCAAATGTGCATGTATGCTACCAGTACATTCATTTCTCTTTCAATTTTCATCACGGAAGTTCTTTGGTGCTTTGACGTAGACCGGTGGTCACAGAAGAGAAAGAAAGCGCAGTTTGGTCGTTAGAATTTATAACATGCAGAGAGAGGCACTCACCGGCACTGACAGTGATCGCTTCAATGAACTGCTCTCTCCAGCTGTTCGTCCCGACCACCAGGGCGAGGTTTGTCTTCTTAATAAGTTTGTCCACGGTGCTCTAGAAAGGTTGAAAAGGATAAGATAATAACTGCTGGGTTAGTTAAGGCCTTGGAAAAGCTAAGACCTTGATGATTTTGAAACCCCAGAGTTATATAAAGGGTAGCAGATGTTAGGCTCAGAACAACAGCATTGACATCAAACACTGTTATGATTATGCAAACAGGCATAGTCCTTACTTGGAAACATGCTGAAAGGGAAACTTGTTTTTCATAGCAAATACAAGCCTCCTTCACCGCCTAAGTGGCCAATGAGGAATGGTCTCGGCGCTCAGAAGAGCAGATGTTGCAAAAGCCCACCCCTCTCCCCCTAAATGCTTTATGAACTTGTTTCTCGACTGGCTTTATCTATAGTGTGCTGTCTGCAACTGAATTCACATATGTCCTGCTCAGAAGTTACATATCTGTGAATACCGGAATTGGCAGGTGGATTATAAGCCTAGAAACTGTTCTTGTACTTTTGTTTATCAATACATTGCAGCCAGACAGCAGAACCTCCAAATTGCTGCTGTAGGATCATCCATAAATGGATTTTTCTCTGGCTCCTGATTTTGTCAGCCTGGTGGCTGTCAGAGAATTCACTCTCATTCTTCTCCTATTGAGAACATGTCAAGAAGAGGTCAATGCATAGAGTTTAGGGCACATCGCTATTTACCTTGAATCCTCCTTGCTTTACTAACACTGAACCTCTTATTTTTCTTTCCACCTTTTTGAAGCACTTGGTTTTTACAATTAGCACTTTGTAGTTAATTGTCACTTAATGTAACAAGAGGAAGCAGCCAAACATTTACAAAAATACTAAGTAAGCAGATGCACCCAAAGCACTACCACATCACAGCCACTACAGGGAGCAGGTTCACGTTCAGGATACGAGCCTGCTCTTCCAGGGGGACCACCACCTCGACTAGTCTACCCCCACACCCTTACTGCCAGAGCATCCTCGAATTCCCACTAATTGCAAAGAGGCTGAAACATGTATTATTTGTCTCAGGTCAAACTCTGTACACATTTAATGAAGTGTACCTGAATTGACTACGGTTTGAGAGAGAGAGCACGTTATCAGCTAAATGGGGGTTAAAAAAAAAAAGCAATCAGAGGGGCCTGTCTAGAGACCAAAGCTAAATCAGAATGTCAAGTGTGTTAGTTCAACAAGAGTCTTTTGAACTGACTTGAAATACTGCGATAACATGAGAGGGCCCATCTCCAACTGGCCCACTCTGGGTTGCCAACACCATTCTTGGCTAGCTTGTTTGTCCTTAAGGTGGTGACCTTTCGGCCTCAGGCCTTATGTCTAGAACTGCTAGTGCTCCAGAGAGTAGCTATAGCCATCACTGCTCTTGGACACCACAACTTAAGTGCGTGGCAAGCATCTGGCTTTTCTCTCTCAACTCAGCCACATCTCCTCAAGCACTCTGAGTGTCTTGGTTGATGCCAATTCAGACTTCTGTGTAGAATGAAACAAGAAATGACCTTGATTTTTCCTAAATGTAATGGAAACTTGGGGCAGGTCTCGCCAGAGAATTTCATGTTTATCACCTGGAGATAAACAGTTGAACAGATAAACTGGTCTAACAGTTGAATGCAGACTTGCCTCAAGAAATATCTCTAAAGAACTAAGTTTTAGAATAAACTTAAAATTTATAAATATGTAATACTCAGGATAGATTATAAACTTTTAGTTCATGTTAACCCTGGGGGACTATGGGATAGCTTGGGTTCTTCCTAGGACTTAATTTGAGTATGTGTCCTCCTTTGACCCATGGGAGGAGACTGAAGGAATAAGATGAATCTGAAGCTCAGACACTTGAACTTGGGGTAGTGCCGTCTATGCTTACCTGGAGATTTCCTATATGTCAGTGACGAACCCTTCACTGCCTTGTAAGCGACTGCTATAACCTCACCTTCAGCAATGGGTCTTAGGAAAGTCAAGCCCTCAGTCACAAGTAAAGAAGAACCCAGTGGGACATTATAAGGTGTCACCCGGATGTGGGACTTTAATGCAGTTCTGAGACATTTAAACACGTTCCTTAAAATAGCCATGGTCTAGAAAAATAAATTTCTTAAGGGGATAATATAATATCAAAATTGATACTTGAGGGCACTTGAGAAAAATGCCCCCAAATTACCCTTTACTGATAACAGTAACTGTACCGATGAACTCTGAGGAGACAGGAGGAAGGAAATAGTCTATGAAAACTATTCTAGGAAGATAAGTGCCCCAAACAACTAGATTTATGTAAACAGATTTGGAGGACTCTTAAATGCTCAGATCAATAGGGTGGTTACCAGGGAGAGCTTTGGACTCAAGAAAGCATTGCTCTCTGAAAGACTGCCCTACCGTACCCAACCCAACCTAACACTTCCTACAGGAAGGCACTGTGATTGCTCTTCCTTGTCCTGGTACATGGAAGGGGAAGGTTGGGGGTTGTGTGGTATAAGGCAGCGAACACACAGTTCCCCATCAGTGTCCGGGGAGGGGTGGGAGACAAGAAATGCCAAGCCAGAGAGTCTCTGCTGCAGCAAGTGGCACCAGACACTCTGATTCCACATAAAAGAAGGTGCATGAGGAAGAGTGAGGTTGGACACATCTGGACAGTCTGGTCCATGGAATTAGATGGTCTGGAATATCTGTACTCTGGACTTACAGGGAGCTTGTGTGCACCAGTCATGTTCCAGACCAAACAACAGGTGAGCTCTGATGGCCAGGGTCTGCCTAGAAAGCACTGATCTTGGAATTGACCCCCACTTGCTCTTTCTAGGGGAATGAGTGAAAGCAAAGTTAAGAGACTTTTTCATTCACTTGAAGGGGAAAGTTTAATTGCATTTTTATCTTTTAAACATTCCACTTTAATTGCAAAAGCATTTTTACTCTCCACCTGTCTTCTCTAAGCCACCTCAATTTGTGAACTAAATAACAACAACAAAAAAAAAATTTAATGGGCCCAGCTAAAGGAAAAGAGGCCACGACGACAAAGAATCCAGATAAAACACTGAGGCTTCTATGTTGGTGGCCTGATTCTCCCCTCATTCTGGTTTCCCAACCGGAGCAGAGTCTGCTTTTGAAAAACAAGTGGAGCCCGGCTGGCATGGCTCAGTGGTTGACAGTCGACCTATGAACAAGGAGGTCATGGTTTGATTCCCAGGCAGGGCACATGCCCAGGTTGCAGGCTTGATCCCCAGTAGAGGGCATGTAGGAGGCAGCTGATCAATGATTCCCTCTCATCATTGATGTCTCTCTCGCTCTCTCTGTTCCTCTTTGAAATCAATAAAAAAAAAAGAAAGAAAGAAAAACAAGTGGAGAAAATACTGCTGTGCTCTGGATTTGCAGTTCTGGAAGGCCAGAGAAAGGCTGCTCCTTTTCATGCTCTCCTCATCCCCCCACAGAACTAAGTGTGGCTCTGCTAGAGTCTTCTCAGATGTTAGGGTGATGTGAGTGAGCTGGGATGGGAGATGGGCTAAGGACAGAGGGAATAGCTAAGAATGGATAGGAACTTGCGCCTCAAAGTCCTAAGCTCACCCTAGGCCTATTTGTTTAACTTCTGCAAAATAACTGTTATCATCTAGAGCCGTGGTCGGCAAACTGCGGCTCGCAAGCCACATGCGGCTCTTTGGCCCCTTGAGTGTAGCTCTTCCTAAGCCTTAGGAGTACCCTAATTAAGTTAATAACAATGTACCTACCTATATAGTTTAAGTTTAAAAAATTTGGCTCTCAAAAGAAATTTCAATCGTTGTACTGTTGATATTTGGCTCTGTTGACTAATGAGTTTGCCGACCACTGATCTAGAGAACTGGGAATTTGATTTTATCAGCACAGTGATGATCTCTCTGGTCACAGGCTTATACCTTCAGTATGTTGAGTGTGCTAAAATGTCCTGGGACCTTAAGAGGATGACTAAATATCCATGGGCGTTGGTTGATGGAATGTTCCATAGGGAGAACTTACCATCTCCCCTCCAAAACAGAAGCCTCCTAATTTTCAGTACCTAACAAAAGCCACCTAAATTTCGGTGTGATTGCTTTTCTTCTAGTAGATTTATTAGCTTTTTCAAATAGACCTTGGTTTCCTCCACACATAACACTCCTGGAATCCACCTTTGCTTCTTCCTTGCTACCTTTGCAGACGAAGCCCTCCCTTTGGGCCACCTCTGACCCTTGGACAGATGCCACCCATGGAGTCCTGGTTCTGATGCTGTTTGGTTCCTGGGAACTCTTGATTCCCTACTAACTGTGTAATTCCACTTCCACTGTGAAGGTTTCTCAGTTAGTGAGCAAGTTCCTGAAATTACATCTGCCTCTCTTTCCAGGTGGATCTGACATATGAAGCTTTGATCCCAGGATGGCCCTAGCCTCCTGGGTGGGCAGTGTGGGTGAGCATACCTTGAATTCATAGGATTCCTCGATGATCACTTCCAGCTTGGTGTGTTCTCCCAGGATGGGGCGCCCCATTTCTGCAATGCGCCTCTCCTCTTCCTCTTTGCTGGTCAGCGGCTGCTTGTCGTCACATTCCTCTGTGAAAGGCAAGGGCAAGAAAGTGAGCAATGGGCTCAATTTTATTTGGAATTCCCTGGATCAGGAAACGGAGAAGGAAGGAAGCCCTAATGACCTACTAAAATTCCCTGGTGAGACCATAAGTCTGGAGGGGGGTATTAGATAGATGCTAAGTATGTCAGGCAGCCTACCATTATGACAGCAAGAGATTATAAAGTCCCACAACCTAAGCCCACGTGAAAGTGCAGACCAGGAAAAACAACTATGGGGACACATCACTGACAAACGCTGCCTGCACGTCGTCTATGTTGTGGGAGTCACTCTGCTGTCCCCTGTGACCCTGGCTCATCTGGCTGTTTATGCACATTCCTTTATCACATGACCAAAAGGAAACATAATTACTAGTACAAGAGTGAGAGTGACTCCAGGGGTAAAGGAATCTGGCCTCTTTCTCTCCACTTTCTAGAAGCAACAGAAATGCCCCACGGCCAAAGAGATGATGGAAGGGAAATTCTGACCTTAGCCTCTCATTTGCCAAGAACCCCTGTTGCAAATTAAGAAGCAAAACATCCATCCCATGTTTCAGTAAGATGCCTGCTTCAGGGCTTTTTCTCTTTGGTGCAAAGCTGAAATGTGCTAGGAAGACCTTGACCATGTTAATCTTAAAGTAAACAGGGAGGGTGAAGGTGAGGCCTTTGGGGAGTTAAAACTACTCACCACGTCAGCATGATTATTTCCAGAACCACCATGTAGTTTACACCCCAGGGAGGCTAGGGGGTGCTGAGAAAATGTTACTGGACTGGAGAGTCCATTAATGAGGGGAAGCTCACAGTTGGCTCCTCTCTGCTTGAAGGTCATTAGGATAAATCCCAGACCGAAAAGGCCATGCACATGTGAAGGTCAAACACTATTCCTATACTCACCAGCCCCTTTATCCTCGAGGCCCAGGATGCTGCAGCTAGGCAGGCCACTTCCCCTCACAGTCTAGTTGAATAACCCTCATCTCCAAGGAAGCAGTATCAGTGGTATAGAAAGACTTCAGCCCTGATGTGCTCGTTTTTAGAACTATCCGGGCACACTGCCTGTGGTAGGAGTCTGTTGACTGAGGGACTTCTAGCCCAGGCTCCCTGCCTTTTGCATTTAGGCATCAGCTTCTGCAGAAGTCCATACCTTCCATTCCCTCCAAAGATACATGGCTTCCCTCTGCTGAGGGAGCCTCCTGTGATGGTTCTATGTGATGCTCTCGCAAATGTTGCCACAACTGGTTCCTAGGCCAGTCGTTCACTGCTAGGGCACAGAGCAGATGGGCTAGAGGCACCGCTAGCATTTTATATACACCACCAGTAAAAACCAACGGAAGCCCAAAGCAGAGCGTGGCATATCAATGAATTCTTTAGTATGCATTCAGTAGAGTCTTCCTAAAAGGCTATTTCAGAATCTGCTTTCCTATCCCCAGTGATTACACGGCCCTGAAGATATGGGATAAAGACTAAAAAGAAGTGATTTGGGATGGGCCAGAAACTGCTGCTGAGTGTTTGCAGATGCAAAGGAGAGGTGCAGGGGGATTAATTTTAACTGTAATAGTGGTCATCTTTTTAAAAGTAGGCTTGGGAAGTTATGACCCAAGGGAAGACAAAGGGTTCTGATTGGCATTCCTAAGATTTGTCCTTGAAATTATGTGTGTGTAGTTGAGGGGGTGGGCTGAAGTATGTGATGTCCAATTTACTCAGTGTACACATCAATCATGTTTTGATTTTTACTGCATCTGATCCTTGAACACAGGATAATGTTGTTGGTAGTTTTCATAACAGCAGGTTATATTAATATCTTTGTTCAAAACCTTGGCTGAACATGCATGCCTTGAAGACTTACATCAAGTTAGAATTATTTTTTTCAGAAGAACTACTAGAACTTGGATTTTTATTTGAATTGCAAAACTATTGGGGAATAGTATTTATTATTCCTCTCCCTTTTCTGCAGTTCACTCATAAATGGTAAGTTGCTTTTAATGGGATTCAAGGTGATTTTAATGGGATTCAAGTAACAGAGAAATTACAAAAGAAGAGTGATTTGAAGGCATTGTTTGATGCTGCATTTCACAAAACAAAATGATTTGGAGTGTGGTATTGAATAAATGGACATGGTAGGAAATGAAATTGAATCACACAGTGAGTGAAAAGGTTATTCCCTTTTTAATCATCTTTCAGTCCTTCTGATCAAGAAGAAATGCTTAGTTTGGTGCTGTTGGTCTGTAACTAGTTTCTGACATTTGGGTTTCTACCATTTATGAAAGAGAAAACAGTCCTCAGGCAAAGAGCATTTGAATGTATTTAGTTAGAATTTAATAACTTTTTTCTATTCTTAACTTCTCTTTAACCTTATTTTCTACTAATGAAAAATGATACTAGCTTTCCATTTGTGTTAGTGACAATTTTGTTTTAAAAACAAATCTAGTGAAGCACAAACATGAGGCAATTTCAGAATATTACATTAAGTAAATGCAAGTATAGTTGGTATGTTATAAAGGCAAAAATTATAAAGGAGGTAAGAGAATAAACAAAATTTACGAAACACTCTCTGAATAGATTCATACCAACCTATAGGAAAGCAAGGAAGCTTGTTTCTGTTACTTCCTACTCTTGCTCCAAGCCTGACTTGAATTTAATGCCACACTTTTAAGCTATTGTCTACCCATCTGGAAAAGCTTCCCCATTTCCACCCAGCTAAACCCGACTTAATCTTTCAAAAGTCCGCCTCTTCTTGCATGAAATATCCCAATTGACCTATTTAGGAATGACCATTCCAACTTTATACTAATTCCATTATATTTGTTGTGTATACTGAGCACAAATCTTGCTAATATTTAAATTTTTTGGTTATCTTTATATATAAATACCCAGCATGTAAACTTAGCGAGATAGAATGTCTCCTTGCTCTTTGAACTGTGATCACAACCACCATTACAATGTGTAAAATGTAGTAGGTACTCAATAAATATTTGCTGTGAGACTCTCCAACTCACTGTTAGATAGGCCTCTTATTTGTTCTTTGTATGTAAAGATGATTTGTTCGTTTAACAAATGTTATTGGGCTCCTACAATATGTGAGCACACTGAAGCCTCCTCCCCCATTTCCCAGGAACCTGTGGTCTAGTGGGAATTGAGGCATGTGGGTGGGGCAACTTTCAGTAGTGCAAGGTAAGGGCTGAGGGACCAGGTGGAGAAGCAGCTCGCTCTGCCTGAAGGCGTCGGGAAAGGCTTCAGGACAGGGGAGGTATTTGAAATTGGCCTTGAAGCAGGTATAAAAGCTTGCCAGGTGAAGGTGGTGGTAGGGTAAGGAGGGGCATTCCAGGCAGAGAGAAGTCAAAGCACAAAGGTTCAGTGTCATGGAAGGGTCAGGGCTAATTTCATTGACTCAATGTCATGAACGTGTAAGATCTCACTCCACTTATACGTAACTGAGAAAGGGCAGCTGGGTAAATCCTATTATGGCTCTATAATGATACAGATAAATTAGCATTTATGGTCCAAATTTTTGACACTGGCAAAGAAGATAGCTGAGTCTATTTTTTTTTAAAAAAAGTGTTCTCTTTTAAATAAATTTTGTTGAAAAGAGAAATAGTTTAACAGCATTTTTAAATTATCTATTATGTTTGTTTCCTTTTCACTTTGAGTGTTGGATCAAATGCAATCCATTTTACTATGGTCAAATCAGTTTCATTTCCTTACTTATGCAGAGTGAGAGAATAAATTATATA